CTCTGCAGCTCTGGATGCAGTCAGTGAAGATAGAGGGGACAGCACGCAGGCCAGGGGAGCAGCCTAAAGGACAGCCCTTTAGTTCTGTAGATAAAAAAGAGGTCAAAAGTGTGAGCTGATTGCTGGGCTTATGGGCACTGGCTCCCTGTGGCCTGATGACCCCACCCCAAGGTAAGAGCCAGGAAGGCCCCCAGAATTTCCAGGCACCCCAGGCATTAATTAGTCAGGGATCCAGGCATTATTGGATTTAGCAGTTAGTGAAATTGACATATATTAAGAATTTAGAACAATAATGAAATTGGGCTTCGCAAGGACCCCTGGGATAGGGGAGGGAGCATGGTCAGAATGGCAGCAAAGTGGATGTGACCTCCTCAGCATTTCTTGCTGCTCAGCAGATGGAGGCCGCCCAGGCCATAATGGCCAGCCCACCTCTGCAAGGAGGCCGGCCAGCATTCTGGGAGGAACGCCACAGGATTTAGCAATCAGAACCCACCCTGATAGCCACTTGCTTCCCACCTGAGAGATCACCCAGCCCAGCCCTTGGAGGGCACAGAAGGAGAGGGTAAGGATTTCAAGATCAGAGCTGGGTTTGAGCTATAACCCTGTACATAGTATGTGGGTGGTCTTGAGTAGTTACTTAATCGTGCTTCAGTTTTCTCATTTGTGAAATAGGATTAGTACTGGGACTTATCTCGGAGTTGCAGAGAGGTTTAAATAAGACAATTCACATAAGGACTCAATAAAAGGTAATGTTATTGTTTTGAAATTCAAGCACCGCTCCTGTTGTTATCATTCCTATTAGTTTATAGAGCAGGTGAGGCAGAGCCATTTCCAGAATATGGGGACCTGACTCCCTCCTTCCTCCACCAGGTACCTTCCCACATACAATCAGTCTCCACCTGGCCAACTCCTAACCATCCTACAGCAGTCAGCACAAGTGGCCTCCTCCTCCAGGAGGCCTGCCCTGGAGCCCTCTCCATCCCTGGGGGGTTCGGTGCCCTTCCTGGAGGTCAAGGTCCTGTGCATCCTCCCTCACAGCACCCATCTCCACAAGTTACAGGTGCTCCTTTTCTTACCTGAGAGCCCAGTAGGAACAGGGAGAATTCTGTCCTGATGATCATAGTAACAAACATCCATATTCTGAGCACTAACTACACATGAGGCCCTGGCCTAGGCTAAGTGCTTTGCGGGCATGTCCTCGCTTGGCGGCCCCTCCCTAAAGCGGATCTTCGTCACTCCATTTTATAGAGAAGGGAGCAAACCTGGCTTCTTATCCTGGCTGTGCTGTGCAATTAGTCTGAGTCCTGAGTGGGTTACTTAACCTTTCTGAGCTCACCTGTGCGTGGAACTGCTGCCCCCCATGGCCTCAGGCTCTGACTTCCTGCTTTATCTCCATGCTCAATGAGTTGGCATCCTCTGGTGAGTTTTGCTCTGGATTCACATTGGGCCACCTTAGGGCATTTGAGTTGGAGAAGCAAGGACCCTGCCCCCATCCCACTCTGATCACTTGGCCTTCCTCATGTTCTCCTCCCCAGCAGCCCCATGACTTTCACTGTCCTCACCTAGCACCTTGAAGAGCAGACCACTGGGTTTAGGGATGCTGCCACCTGGTGGCCGAGGGCCAGAAGAACGCAGGGGAGAGGTGGTATACATTCTGGCTGGGCGGGTTGGAAGGAGGGTCCCTCTCTGCCTAGTGTACTGCCAGCAGCCAGCTGTAACAGATGTTTGGAGAAGGTGGAGCAGCTGGACTCACGAGAGCACCATCCATCCGTCACAACAGCTTCATGGGTAAGTCCAAGAATCCCACAGACTGGACCCAAGTCCTGGTTTTGACACCTTCCATACCTGTGACCTAGGTCTAGTCAACTAATCACTGAGTCTCAGCTTCCTCATCTGTAAAGTGAGTAGCTTTCCCCTCCTGTGTTAGGACCACATTCCCAAACAATAACCTTGAGAATCCTTCTGATCTCATTATTGTTAACAAGGGAATTTATGTGAGACTCATGCAAATTATGTATTCAACTCCAAAATTGTTTATTTTAAGCAAACCCTGGAGCCTTCTGAGAACTTGGGGTTTGTGCAGGCTGCTAGTTTGCTCTGCCAGCCCCTCTCTCCAGGATGCCTCTTCACTCTACTCTGCTGGAAAGGGTTCAGCCAAGAATAGGTCTCATTTATCTTGGCACTTGGCATTTATCTCATTTAGCCCTCATACAACAACAAATTACCCTCATTTTCCAGAGCAGAAATCAGGTTCAGAGAGGCTGAGTAATTATTGAGGTCACACAAGCCTCCGGACCCGTCTCTCTGACACCAGAGTCCCTGCCTGCCCACCCCTGTAGAAAGCCCCAGAAGCTGTTATTCTGTCCCCGAGTTCTCCAAAGAGCACATGACAGGGTACATCTGCTCGCTGATGTATGCGTCCCAGGGTCCCAACACCAACTGGAGGAGGTCATCCTAGCCAAGGGGGCCAAGCAGAGTGAAACTAGCACCTCCGCTTCCCCTGCTTTCGTTCTACTTCCTACTACTGGCCTTTGGAAGATGCAGCCTGGGCAGGGCTTCCTCTTGCCAGATGAATTCCCTGGAAGTTTCAGTTCTCTCTCTCTCTACAGACACAGTATGCTCTGCACCAAATTACACAGGAGCCATGAACACATTTTTTCTGCCCGCCCACGCTCTCATGCCAGGAGTACAGACATAGCCTCCTCTTACCATTGCAGGGGACAGTGGGAGGTGTCCCATCCCAAAGGTGGACAAGCAAGGCCCAGAGAGGGACAGGAATAACCTGAGCTCACACACGTAGCAGGAGCAAAGCTTCTTGCCAGGCTTCTGCTGGCGCCCACTGCCCTGCTCTTCTGGTGGGCAGGAGTACCTGAGTATTATCGAGACTGGAAGGTAATGAGGAGGAGGCCCTTTCCCACGGTCCAGAGACATTCAGTTGGCCAGGCAGTCTGGGCTAGGGAGACCGATGGGCAAAGAGGACAGGATGTGAAACATGGCACACCACCTTCCACTCTGTAGGCTCAGTCCCATGTGCATTTACAGTTTTGAAGCTCTTCAAAGTGGCCATATGAGCTTCTGTTTATCTATCCATCCATCAGGGAGGTACAGCTGCCTCTACTGAGAGGGGTGTGGTACTGGCAAGATCCTGGGCTCTAGCTTCGCTGCCCAGACTGCACATGGCTCCCTCACAAGCCAAGCAGCATGCCTGAAATGCTGCGATTAGAGCCACTGCCTGGAGGGAGAATGCCATGGATGAAGGCAGAGCTCAGGGTCATGCTTCCATAAGCCAAGAAAGGCCAAAGGTTGGCAGCAGACCACCAGAAGCTGTGGGAGGCCTGGAGCAGATTCTCACGCAGCCCTCTGAAGGAAACAACTCCAAGTCCAAACAAGCTTGGACAGCTAGCCTCCAGGAGTGCCAGACAACACATCTCTGTTGTTTAAGCCACCCCGTTTGTGGCACTTTGTTATGGCAGCCCCAGGAAACCAATATGCCAGTTGGTACATCTCTACAGACACAATTCAATATTCTGACCTGTTGCCATGGGCTAGTTTTGCCTGTTCTTGTGTTTCATAGAAATGGAATCACCCATCTGTGGCATCTGTGCCTGGCTTCTTTTGCTCTGCATATGGTCTTGAGCTTCATCTACATTGTGCATGCAACATTGGTTCATTATCTTTTTATTGCTGTGTAGCATTTCAATGTACATGTTATACAATTTGTTTATTCATTTCCCTGTTAATGGACATTTGTGTTATTTCCAGTTTGGGGTTAATGCTTGGTTTGCTCCAAGGGCAGATACAGTTCCCATCTCTGGGGAGCTGGTTCCCTGGGAGACCCTTGGTGGTGGTGTCATACTGGTTGGGGCAGGCAGGGATAGGTAACTGTTTTCAGCATTCTCTGTTTTTCCTTCTTAGTTACTAAGCAACCAGAATAGAGGAAGCAGACCATGAGCCCTGAATAGCTCCCAGAGGGACCTAAATTCAATTGTCCCCTGGGGTGTGGCCTGCCGAGACCTCTGGGACCTCAAGGGTTACCCATGAGCAGTGAATAAGTGTGGGCCTAGGAGCAGTGAGGCAGAGCAGGGAGAGGCACCTGCTGGTTGATAGGGGTGGCCTGGCCTGCACCACTCCCCTGTATACCCTCCTAGAGTCCCCAGGATAGGGTGTGATGGGGAAAAGGGAAAGGATTATGCTGCTAGCTCATTCTGGGGCCTTGGGCCAGACACTGTCCCTCTTAGGGCCTTAGTTGCCTCCCGTATGAGATGAGCACACATCCATTGCCAGCTTGACATGTTGGTGGGTACCATGGAGGCAATGTGAACACACCGGCAAATTATGAATAGCTGTGTCAGGTGAAGAATTAGCACCATCGTGACACTGGGTCACTTCTAGAACAGGCAGAGTCCGTAGTGCTGAGCAAGCACCATCTTCAGATGGCCCTTGAAGCCCAGCAGAGCCCAGGAGGAGTGAATAGAGAAGGCGGCTTTCTTGCTGTCCTCCTGCGAGAGAGGCCATCCTGTGTGAGTGGCCTTTTTCTCCTTTCCCGAGGCTCGGCCATTTCTTGAGATCTCAGGGGACTTCCCTATTGCTCACAGGTCCTGCAAGCCACCCCAGTCCAGTCTTAGTTCTCTCTTCACAATCTCCCACATGCAGTGGGGCCCCCTCCACTGACCCTCTGTCCAAAGAGGCTCCCCTTTCTAACAAGCCTGGAGTGCTTTCCCCCACTCGACTGGCAGGGAAGAAGAAGGATATGGCTAATACCCTGGACACAGCTCCCAGGGTCCCTGTGGACGGGGCCATAGAAACCGGCCAAGCTGAAACCCATGAGGGAGCCCATTTACTAGAGGCGTCTCCGAGCTGGGGGCCTAGGCTGGGGTTTCTCAGCTTCTCAGCCATGGAGTGCACTTCTGCAATAGGAATTCACACTTCCCTTTTCTGTCCTAAAAGGAAAAAGAAAGAAAACAAAAAAACTGATGAGCATTCTGACACATCAGAACCCTGAACTGGAGCCGTAAATGTCATCCTTAGAAGGCCCCGGGACTCACTTCCTCCTGAGAGCTCACAGCAAAAGTGCCAGAGCCAGATGTGCCCTTGGAGTTAAGGTAGGTGGAGGGTAGAGGGATTTGAACCCGCAGTGAGGGGAGGAGGCCTGGTGGGGCTGAAGCAGGGCCCTGTTGGTTTCTTGTCAGGCACACACCCCAGAGGGTCTTCCTCCCGGAGTTCCAGGGGCGGCATTGGCAGGGCTGGGCTTCTGCTTCCCCAGAACAGCTAGGGTCCTGGAGAAATGAGTCTCAGCTGCTCCGGCCAGGGTTTCTGTCAGCTCTGGAATCACCGGAGCAGTGGTGAAGTCTTCTTTCTGAGGGATTCTCTTAGGGTCCCCCAGCCGTGGGATTGGTTCCTACGAGTGAACTCTGAGTTATCGCTAGGCCTGATGACCTGGCTGCCAAACCCAGCTGTCCTGGACCCGGCTTACATCACACCCCTCAGGGGGATGTGGGTGGAGGCATGTATTTGTGTAAACGTGTGTGTTAGAAAAAAGAGAGGTGGGCCTCTCAAGAGACTGGAAAGTGATCCTCACCATTAGCCAGGTTCATCCAATAGGCAGGAGGGGCAGATGGTCGAGGACTCAGAGGGACACTGAGCCTGTACCACACGTGACGGGCTCCCTGTCTCACCGCCTTTAACGACCAGAGTCCAATTTGAGGTTTATGTAAACTTGATTTCATGTGTGTGGACTTCTCCTCATTCAGACATTTGGCAAATGCGCCTCCTACTTGCTGTGGCCAGGCCTGTCTGCCCTGGGCGGTGGAACACAAGGCAGTGCGGCAGCTCAGACCACACCCTGCCCTTGGGAGGCCTCGGAGAGACAGGAGGAGCGGCGCTCCAGCAGCACAGACAAGGGCCCACAGAACCCTGACATGTCATGCAAAGATGGACTACGTGGGGGTCGCCAGGTGCCCCAGGTGTGGGAATCTTCCTGTGTGGGGGTCAGAGGGCAGAAAGAGGAAGAGTGTCCTAGAAGAGCTCACATTTGAACCAGGCCTGTAAAGAGCAGTATCTGGATACAAACTGTGTAAGCAAAAGCCTGGTGCCAGGAAAGTGTACAATCCTTTGTTCAAATCCACTCAGCCCTGTCGAAGGTTGGTTTCTGTTGAAGGTGGGGGCAGGTCCCAGGCCACATGGGGTTGATGGCGGTGGTAGAGTTTGTATTCCTCAAATCCATGCGTGAGCAAAGCTGACCGTTGTAAGCAGTCTCCCCACATATGCCAAAGATCCTAAAGGACACATTACTGGAGATGGAGTTGCTGGGACCGAGTGTGCGTTCCACACTGTCTCAGATATTGCCGGTGGCGCTCCATGGGGACCTGATCAGTTCTTGAGCAAGAGACCTTCCTGGTCAGGATCTGCCTTCTGCCCCAGACAGTGAGGAGGGGATGTTCGTGGTATTCAGGCCCGTAAGCCTATGGCTTCCCATGGGAATGTGCTAGCTGTTTTTATTCCTCCTTCGTGTCCCCAGGCAGCCTTTCTGATCTCCTTGGAGCAGGCAGGGTTCCCCTGTTCTGTGCCTCTCCATATGCCTAATTCTAGAAGCTCCTGTCTCTCCCACCAGCTGGGTGCTAGGGAAAGTAAGGGCTTGTTCTCTTACATCTGCTTAACCCCAGCAGCTGGTGAGAGGAGAGCTTGGCGAGCGTTCGTCCTGTGACTGTCAGAAATGAGAATGGTATATCCTTGTCTGTCTGTCTCTCCTTCCCTTTCCATGTAGCAGGGCCAAACTGTCCTCAAATACAGGCCACCAGAACCCTACCCAGCATGCTGGAGTGCCTTATACTTGGCATAGATAAGGTCAGGCATACCTATATTACAGAAAAGAAAATGAAAATTCAGAGAGTTCAGGTGGCACACCCGCCTCACAGGGGCTGGGAGAAATGAAGCTGGGGCTACAACCCATGGGCCTTGGCTCCCGCCTGGCTTGACCAGAATAACAGCGTCCATGGCCAGTGCTTGGCTCTGTTTGGCTGGAGGTGGTCTGGGGATCCCTGAGGTGGGCAAGTGTGTCTGGGTTCAGGGAGCCATAAGTGTGTCTGTGTTCCATCCTTCCCAGGCTCCCGCCCATGGAAAGACCCCTCACCGTCCTGCGGATGAGCCTGTACCACCCCACCCAGGGCTCTGCTGTCTTCGCCACTGTTCCACAGAGGCTGCAGCATGACACCAGCCCGCTCCTGGTGGGGCGGGGCCTGGACACCCACCTCCAGCTGCATCTCCCCCGCCTGTCCCGCCAGCACCTGTCCCTGGAGCCCTACCGGGAGAAGGACAGTGCTCTGCTGGCCTTCAGCCTCAAGGCCCTGAGTCGCAGGGGCTGCGTGTGGGTCAACGGGCTGGAGCTGAGGTTCCTGGAACAGGTCCCCCTGAGCACCGTCAACAGAGTCGTCTTCGCGGGGATCCAGATGGTGGTCCATGTAGAGGGAGGCGCCTCCCTGGAGGCCTTTGTCTGCTGTGTCCACGTCAGCCCCTCGCCCCTGATTTACAGGCCCCAGGCTGAGGAGACTGATGAATGGGAGGACATCCCCAAGGAGCCGCCTGCCCCGGGTTCAGAGCCACCGGTTCCAGGTCACCTGGGCTTTCTCCATGGCCCTTCCCCGACTGCGGACAGCTCACCCCAGCCAGGCACTGGAGGAGGAACAGATATACAGCTCCAGAGGGAGCGCACAGACGGCGCGCTCTGCTAGCCCCGCTGCCACCCGGAGCACACCATGGCTGAAACCGGACTTGAACTATTCTAACTACATCATGCGACGTTGACAAGCAAGGCCTGCCTGGCTAATAATGAACCAATTCTGCAAACATGAACAGCCTGGGGCGGGGAGGGGGGCGCGCCCTCCCCGTTTCCAACTCTGCAAGGCAATGGGAACTTCATATACTTTTAGAGGCCCTGAGGGGCCCTGGGAGCCCCTCGCAGCGTTTCCCCACATTTCACGGTCTTGTCTGACTAGGAGTTACTTTATGTTGCTAATTTTGTGTGCTGCTTAAGAGCGGGAGTTTGAGGTTGCGGCAGGAGTAGCTGGGGGTTACCTTCGGATTTCAAATACCCACAGGCACTGGGGGCTTAGGGAAGCCTGTGTTTAATAAACTGCAAGTATTTCATTAAGCTGGCATACCCAATAGGATTCCCTGATCCCCAGATGGGCTGCATGCATGCCACGCTGTCACGCAGAGGCAGGGGTGGGAACTACACAAGAGGTGTAAGAGGAAATTGGAAAGGTGGGGGCTCACATTTCTGAAAAGAATGCAAGCAGAGCTCAGGGCTTCCTGGGCGTGGGGAGCCGGGGCCGGGGCCTGCCTGAAAATTCCTTGCCACCATCATTCTCCTCATCCTCACCCTCCCAGCTCTCGGTCATTTCTGGATCAAAGCCTTGGCTGACCAGAGGGCACAGGTCTTCAGGAAAAGGTGGCTTCCCAGAGAACAGGGCTCTTTCAGCACTCAGTCTACGAGAGATGTGGTGGGGGGTTGTGCTAGAATTCAACCCAGCAGTTATTTCACTCAGGGGAAGTCTTTTCAAATAAGGGACCAGTGTGGGGCCAGGCAGGCCATGGGAGGGATAGATTTCTCAGTGAACAGATGAGCAGAGCAGCAGTGTCTGTGAGGCATGGCATCCACTCGAGCCGCATGTCAAGGAGGACACGAGAGGCAAGAAGCGCCATGAGGACGTGATGGCAGACGTACCAGAGAGCTCTGTGTTGGCCATGGCCTAGAGCAGAGGCCACGGCTGAGCACGGGCGGTCCCACATGGGACACTGGCACACTGTGACCATGGTTTCTGGGTCTGTTCCTCATGGGACCTCATGCTCCACACAGATAGGACCACAGATTGTTCACTGTTATGTTCCCGGTGCCCACCTTGGAGCTGGGCAGAGGGTAGACAGACAGACAGGCATAGTGGCCAGGGAAGCAGTCGCCTTGGCTGTGCTAAGGCAGCTGCCAGGTTTCCCAGGGCAGGTGAGGGTAGGGTCGGACAAGAAGCACGTTGGACAGCTGGGGCAGAAAGGGCGAGAAGCCCCAGGCAGACAGTAGAGGCAAATGTCTCTCACTTGCGCTGGGCCTCAGGGGGCAGCCCAGACTCAGGCTGGGTCTGAACGAGGCTGGTGCTTCTGCCTTATTCTTGAGCCTCTGCAGCCCAAACTCAACCAGAACTCTGCGTGTTTGGTATTCTGTGTGGTGACTACTGAGGAAGGTTGACAGATATGACAGTGCCACCAGGAGAGCTCTCAGACAGCACTGCCTGCCCCAAACAGAGGCACAGAGACAGGCGCCTCTAGGAGACCTGGGAGAGCTGCAAGCAGAAGCAGTCAGGATGGCAGGACTGAGCCTTGGCCTGTGGCTCACCAAGTCTCCCCCAGCCCTCACCTCTACCCAGTGCAATGGAGGCCAGCCCATGCAACGCCCCCCCCCGCCCAAACACACACCAGGAACATCCTCCCTGTACCAACACCCCACCCACACAGACCAGAGCTGTCTCTTTAAGATATTCCGTGTGACTGTAGGAAGCTAAGATGTTGCCTTGCTAGAGCTATCTGCATTTTCAAAGACAGGACTGGAGAGGGTAATGCTGGCCCTGAGGAGTGAGCTTCCCTGTAGAAAGAGGGCACTTAAAGTCCCACAGTAGGCAAACATTTCCCCTTCCCCTCAAATGGATGGTCCCTTCATGCATGTATAAAGCAAAATGTAATCCAGGGGCTGGCTCAAGGTCTCCTTGTGACCGAGTCATAGAGCGAGACGGAACTACGAACTAAGTCTTTCTACAGCAGCCCGCTGAGCGGCCAGGCTGCAGGCAGCAAAGAGATATGCAGAAGCAAGTAAGCCCCAGTCACTGTGGAAGGTTCTCACCTCCTACACCGAGGCCCCTCCCCCACCCCCACCCTGTGCTGCAGGTTGGGAGACCTGCCTGCCACTGTATCTACTGCGTGTGCTCCATCCCCAGCTCCGCTCTGTGCCCTCTTCTTCCTCGGCTCCCAGGCCATGGCATCTGGGGGTGCTGATGTTGCCATCAGTTAGCTGGTTCCCAAAGAGCCACACAGGACCATTAGGACCCTCAAGCTTCTCTTCTCTGTGGCAGCTCTACCTGCATTCCCCTGCTCCGGACACTCACCACCACGCCAGGCCCCCATAGCCGGAGCCAGGCTTTGGGGTGAGAGTAAAGCCACCAGCTCCTCCACCTGTGAGATGCTGCAGTTAATAAACTCTGTTCGCATTGCAGGGCTGTGATCCCTCTTACCTTGAACGTGAACTCGCAGGCGGATTAAAGTGAAATAAAACTTACCATTTGAGTTACATTCTCAGATGATTGGAAACATGCATTACCTCCCCATGACCGGGCTGTGAGAAGGGAAGTTATTATCTTTCTTCAGAGTTTGTAAACTCTTTATGGCTGAGGCGGCTTTAATCCTGCTGGAGAAAAAATGATCCGGGAATACATTGCTCTCATTTACCTTGGTTTCCCATCACATGCTCCAGTGGGAACAAAACATCCTAAGTGAGGGGATGTGGGAAGCAAGGTGATCCCAGACAGAGGAGTTTAATTATTTTTTTCTTTAGGCACATGAGTTGAAAGTGCTTTCCAGTGCCGTTTGGCATGGGGCTCGCTCCACAAAAATGTGCCCTCCTGTGCGATGCCAGTACCCCTCAGCTCTTAGTCTTCTCTGCCTCTCTTCCCCAGGGGACCATGGCCTCCACTTCCCCACAGCACCCACTTCTTTGGGAGCTCGGGGGGAATTGCAGCTACGATGCCCAGCTCCAGGCGTTTGGAACGGCCAGGAAGGAGTCTGAGAAAGGACAGATGTGAATCAAAATGAAATCACAGTCCTGGAAGGAGGAAGAGACCTTGGGGTTTGTGTTTCTGGAGGGGTTTTCTTTCCTCCTTTGTTATTTCTGTTCCCTACCCAGAGCTTTACATAGAGCAGATCCCAAGCAAAGCCACCAGGTCGCCCATTCTAACTGCTGGAAGGAGCCCAGCTGAGACGTCTGCCTGCTTTCCTTTAAAGGTGCAGAGGCAGGGGTAGGGGTGGGGAATCTTCAGAAGAAAGCTGCGACTGGGGCCTTTGGAGGGAGAGCTCAGTCAGGCAGCCAGCCCCGGGGTTTGCATAATTGCATCTCCGAGCCTGATAATATTCTTCCAGTCACCTGCAGTTTGCTGGGCTAAGAAAATGGACCCTATTTCGTCACCTTGCTTGGGGGGTGTACGGCTGGGAGTGTATCAGTCAGGAAAACAAAAATCACTCTAAGTATTTCAAAAATGTAATTCAGGGAATCGGGTACACAGGTGATGGTATCACTCAGAAGCCCCACAGACAATGCAGTTCAGAGACCAGCCAGAACAGGAAGTTGTTACCCCTCCCCATCCCCACCCCTGGGGCTGTGGAGGCAATTGAGAGAGGTGGTGGCCCTCCGAGGCAAAGGCCCTCCAGGGGGAGCAGGTCCAGCTGCTGCCAGAGGCTTTCCAAGGCACCTAGAGAGAGAGCGAAATACCCTGGTCTCTCCCCTTTCCCACGCCCCAGTGGGCTCCTATTGGCTGAACCAGCCAGAAGGCAGCTAACAGTCTAGGCCAGTGACCAGCAAACTCATTAGTCAACCGAGCCAAATATCAACAGTACAACGATTGAAATTTCTTTTAAGAGCCAAATTTTTTAAACTTAAACTATATAGGTAGGTACATTGTTATTCACTTAATGAGGGTACTCCTATGGCTTAGGAAGAGCCACACTCAAGGGGCCAAAGAGCCGCATGTGGCTCGCAAGCCACAGTTTGCCAACCATGGGCCTAGGCAATGCAGCCTGGAGGTGGGCTCCCCTGCTGTCCAGAGCAGAGGAGGGAAGGGAGAGTGATGGATCTGAGGGTGAACAGTCAAAGCCATTCACTGAGCAAACCGCTCACTCTGGCCTTTTCTCACCCTGAGCAATTAGTTGTTTAAAGTGCATTTTAACTTTTTAACCAGTAGCTTTGTTGTGGTTTGAGCTTCTTCCCAAAGCCTCCCTCCTAAAGGTCTGCTATCTCACCACTCAGTTCTTTCTCTTAACTCAGTGTCTTGTGTTTCAGTCAATAGACCCTTACTGAGGACCTACTGGGTGCAAGGTGGCTGCTCCATCTAAGTCCACGACAGTTTCTTCCTTGCTGGGGCTGCTTGTGGCCCTGTTCACTCTCAGCATAGGGAGTAATCTCACTTCAGTGACTCTCAGCCGTCACCTGGGGCCCTGGGGTGGCCACCCAACATGGAGAGGGGGGAGAAGCGTAGAGGACTCCACAGCCCCAAGGCCTCCCGAAGGCAATAGGCCAACACAGATTTTCCCTCCACCAAGGACATCCCAACCTATGCGACCTTCGGTGCTCCCCAAAAGGACAAGTACCATGCAGTGAGGTATAGAGGAGAACTGGGTGCACTCTGGCCTAGCCCACACAACCACACCCACTAGGACACCTGCTTTGAAAAACCCTCGCCTCCTACCTCAGAGATGGATAGCGGAGCAGGATCTATATCCCCTCTGCTCTCAACTCACTGACCCAGGAACGGCCTTCGTCTCCTGAGCCCCTGCTCCTCATGTATAAATGGGGACACTACTACTACCCACCTCGCCTCACGAAGAGCGAAACAGACTTTGCAAGAAGGAATTCCGTGCATGCACCTTGAAAATGCTCAATAAACACCAGCCATTCACGTTAACCACCACCCATCCCCAAACATTCCTCCTTCCAGGACGCTTCCCTGACTTTTTCCATGAAGGAGCCGCTCCCTCTTAGCTGCAAGCCAGTGTTGGGATACTCAGGGATTTCCAGCCAGTGATCCATGGGACAAAGGTTTCCCTCGGCTGGGAATTGATGTTCTTTTTTTTATTGTTTTATTTTTTTTATTGTTTTATTGCTTAAAGTATTACAAAGAGTATTATATATGTCTCCTTTCTTTTTCTCCCCTTGACCTTCCCCTAGCTCCCATACCCCCCAGAGTCTTGTGTCCATTGGTTATGTTTATATGCATGCATACAAGTCCTTCAGTTGATCTGTT